GGATTTTTATGGGCATTTAAATTGATATGATTATTTGGAAATGTTCCATTTTTATTTTTGCAATTTTGTCTTATTTTATTTACTCTGGATTTTTTGTGGATATTTAAATTAATATGATTATTTAGAAATATTCCATTTTTATTTTTATAATTTCGTCCTGCTTCATTTACTCTAGAATTTTAATGGGTATTTAAATTCACCTGAAAGTTAGTACATACACCGGGGTTCTTCTAGTTTGAAAACTACTTCGAATCCCCAATCACCGAGTTACGCGCAGTTTTTTAATCCATAGAAAAATGTAACACAAAATGATATCTAAAGAAAATCGAATATCGATGCTTCTTGTAGATTGTTTCCGAAATTATATAAAAATCTACGGTATCCTGGAATTAAATTCGGAAAGGATTGGTCAATTTTGTCATGAAAGTTGCAATGAAGGATATTGATTGCATAGTTTGACAGACTTTTGATAGATTCAGTTTTCTACGTGGAGTGACAAATAAAAACTCGTTGATGCTAAATGGCCGGCGTTTTGGAACGATTGTGTACAACGGAAAAACACAAAAGCCATTTTATAGAGGAAACCTGTCAGTTTTACTGCCGAACTATTCATAAGTCACATAGCAGCATATTTGCCTATGTATGTAATAAAAGTAAATATTCCAAAATATGCGAATATATCGCTCTCGATATTTTCCACGCAAGTTTAATTTCAAACCTAGTGCGATATTCTATCAATCTCTCTCGAACAAAGAAAATTCGAAAGAAGTTGTAGCTAAGACGATTTATTTTGTCGATAAATATTTGAAATTAAAGTGAAGAGTATTTTGCATAACAGGTAAGTTTTCTTTAAACATTTAACATTTACAAAACTAATTACAGTAAATTCTCCACAAGTGTCAGTCCGCAAGGAATCTAAACCTGACACTTGTAGAGTCAGAGACGTGCCCGCCTTTGTAGTTTGCCGAACGTAGACAAGGACAGCGAATAAAAGAGAAGGATGAAACGTGAGTCGAGGCAACCAAGCGATTTAAATACCAACTTTTTTAATTTTACGTTTTTTTATCCCGAAATTTTTCTTAACACATTGATGAGATTTTTCTGATGAAAATGACATCAAACACGACATAATTTGAACAACGTTTACTTATTAACACGTTCACTGTCACGCCAGACAGTTGATTTATTCATCGGTGAACAAATTTTGTCATTCTTCCTTTACGACAGAAACCTCCCCTCCGATATTTAAAATATAAGTTTTCCTGTAGCGTGTAACTAGTGCGCGCCAATAGAGAGTAAGTCACACCTAGACCCGCGTTAATAGAAAATAGTATTAACACGCACCAATAGGGGGCGAGCGTAATGAGCAAATTAGGCGTGTACCGATGGGGCACTCTCCACTGTCCGCGTACAGAAAAAGGGCGTATATAAGGAGGCCCGAAAAAGGACAAAACAGATAGTTCGGGACAGCGAACTGGAGGAAACCTTGTACTCGAGTCAACTAGACATTTACCATCAAACTCTGTATCGACAAAATAAATCTTGTTCAACACATATTTCACGCTTACGATTGGTGTGGTTTGAGGAGCAACGAACCCACATTCCCAACTCGAGCATCCACAAATTTCTAATTGAGAACATAGTTTAATCGCAAAGTGAAACCATTTCTACAACGAAATTCTACGCAGCGATGAAAAACAACTTCTCTTCGGTAAAATATCGGTACAGGTACTCCCGAAAGGTGTAAAAACGACGTAAAAAGTTGCCGGGGAGCATTCTCCAATAATGTGCCGCATTCCTGGTTGGAATTGCGAGCTACGCCTCCGATAGTATTCAAGAGATGAAAAGCGTGTGCGGCGCGAAAATGTTTCGGAATATTTCACGTGGTCATCGTACGAACGAAGAAAATGTTCGAACTGCAAGTAATTCGGTATTTATTTATGGCGAGAGTGGCGAAGGGAACGTGTCATTTCGCCACACCTCACCTGGCTGTGGTGCGGCTCGTTTTTGGCGCATTCGCGTATTCCTTTCGACGACCGATGGCGCGACCAACTCCGTTCGTTTTGCTCCAATTCGGGCATAGCTCGGTGTATTTCAAACGAAAACTAATGGAAAAAGCCTTTGAAATAGTTCCGTTTAAGTGGGAACGTGTTTCGATGCCGAGTATCGTGTTCTGAACGAACGTGGACGACATTTTCTTCTTTTTTTTTTTATCGGAATTAGTAATTTAAGAAGCTTGATCCGGAATTGTTGTCATATTTCAGGGGAATCGTGGAGGGAATTTTAAATGAATTATTTATTTGAAGATTAACAGAGGAGATATAATTAAATTTTTCGGCCATTCTGAGTTTTTTTTTAAATTTAAGTTTTCAGTACGCTGCTTAGGAAAATTTTTTATCTGAGTTAATAATTTAAGAAGCTTGATCCGGAATTGTTGTCATATTTCAGGGGGATCGTGGAGGGAATTTTAAATGAATTATTTATTTGAAGATATGATTAAATTTTCCGGCCATGGTGAGTTTTTTCTTCTAATTTAAGTTTTCTGTATGCTGCTCAGGACAATATTTTTTTATCAGAATTAATAATTTAAGAAGTTTAATTTGAGTTTATTCGAAGATTAATAGGGAACTGTGAATTGGTTTGAAAATGTTGCTTAGAAAAATACTATTTAAAGGATAGCGGTATTTAAAAGGAAAGAATGTAAACAGCACGTGTCAAGGTTGGAAATGTAATGCACCAAGGAAATCGAAACAATAATTGTAAGAATGTCTGTGTACCGATTTATAACGCTTTCACGTTCAGCTACATAATACTGCGCCTTTCATGCTGTAGAAATTTCAGTGCTTTGACGTAGTTCTTGCCCTTTGCATCAGTTAAACCTGAAACACTTTGATGTGCTGCGCCTTTTTTTAAGGCATCTTGTGTCAAGAGCAACAAGATAGCGTGAAGAACATCTTGCCGTTTAGATATTCCTCAGTGCCCCTTTATTTATCTTCTATCCGTTAATTATTCCACTTTTAACAGTATGTATTTAAAATATTTATTTACTTATTCATTCTCTGTTTCTTTTTTTTCTCCCTAAAAAAAGTCGCGAGTTTTCGTATTATCGTGAATATTTATGAAACCATACAAAGTATAGAAAAAAGTTGAGTTCAGTTGTGAAAAGTCATTTTCGAAAATCATTATTTTGTTGTTACGTACGCAGACTAGCCGACACGGCGGCGCCCGAGACCCCCTTGAGATAAAATAAACGAACGCGTTTCGTTCTCATGGGAAAATTAGGGCCCCCACCACCAAAAAGATACAGATTTTTGGGTATATAAGGGCATGATTTCCGAGGCTCTGGGGCAGTCACAGTTGTCACAGTTCAGAGTTACCCTGAACGTTAGAGTAGCACAGTATCTGTATAGTCATCGTTCGACACGGATAAGATCGGGCTCAATTCCCTTTCGAGCATCCCAGTATAATACTAAATTCGTAAGTGTCAACTAGACATACTTGTCTACGACGTCCCCGCGTACTCACCGTGTAAAGTCGAGAAGGAAGATTCTTGCTCAGCCAAGAATCAACCATTATAATTTATCTTTAGACCATAGTAAACTTTTGGAAACTCCTTGATTATTATTAGAATATAGTTCCTATAGAATTGCTTCAGCCTATATTCAATTAACATTAGTAACGAATCAGTTAAACTCACCAAGGATATATCTTTACCGCTCGAGGTATATCCGACATTACCCTACGCACTGTCCTCAACTCCAAACCTATCCATCCTTCGGAGAACGGCGTAATAACCACATGCGTCAAAGGTTCCAATCCTATCGGATTACTTGTCAACAACGTATCACCCTCGTACGGTGAACGTTCTGACCGATCCACCAACCCAAACCAATATTACGCTCCGTGTGAGGACACAACAAGCGTAACTCGTAACATTGTAATGAGTGACGAAGGTAAATTTTGAAAAAATAATCTTGTCCACTGTTCAATATTTATTTGTTTACCGAATACACAGAAAATTCAGTCTCTGTTTCTCTTTTTCTCTAAAAAAAAATCGCGAGTTTTCACATTATCGTGAATATTCATGAAACCACATAACATATGAAAAAAAATTGAATTTAAATTTGTGTAAGGCGTTGTGCGACGCGCCTAGGCAACAGGGGGTCCTAGGGAGCCACATGGGGCCCTAGGGAGCCGCAGGGGGCCCTAGACAAGGAGCAGCGCAGGCTGCACCCCCCACCCCACGGCTTGCAGGGCCCTAACGGTCGAAGAAGCGTATAA